TCTCATTTCCATTCTCTTACTGGCTCTGATTCTCATGTGCAGGATGCGTGCAAAAAATCATGTGATATTATTTGTGGAAACAAAGTGCTGAGATAGTGCAACATGCTAGCAAAGTACATGACATATACAGACCATATCTGTATATTTGTTGCACGCTGGTCGTTATTGATCGTAAAAGTAAGGAGGTCAAACACTGAATGCGTTACAACAAGCCTTCATCAAGCTATTGAAACAGAACCGACATATTTTTGTCTAATAGACTGGCTGAACCTGCAATCCCATAGAAGTGGGCCCAATAAGGAGTTTGATGTAACAACTTAAGTTGGCTGGTTAAGAGTTGGTCAACAAATTTTGGTAGTGTCAAAAAATTGTAGTTCAATCATTTATTAAAGTCCTTAATTTGTGTATGCATAATGTTACTTATTATCCCATACTGAGTGTTGGAAAAAGGTGCCTCGCGCCACTATTTTGTCGACGAGTTTCTAATTCAGCCAGAGTCCCCTCCCAATTTATTCTGTACTCTCGAGACATAATAGGTCTTACCATCAGAAAAAGTGGTATCACAACCACTTATGAACAAGATCTGCACAGGAAAGCAAGCTGAAAGTATAAATACAAGTAGACTGATCAACTATCCTAATTATTGAGGGGTAGAGACCAAATTTTATTAGATCCAGATTCTCATTTGTGTAGTAAGGACAGAACGCCTACGACCTATGTTATTCCTTTTCTAGTATGCTTCTGTGAGTGTCCAATCTTCTTTTGAACGTGTCAATTGAAGGTGCGGACACCACTGCAGGTTTCAAGTATTGATGGCTCAGTGCGAAAACCTGTATGCCACAGGTATTTTGTTCGTTCTTGGCTTTTCTACTCGCCTGCTATGTCCTCTGAGATGTCCCGACCCAGTGGGAAGAAAAATAAAGAATAAGTTAGGTCCGAAATCATTTCTTAGTATTCTGTACATCAAAATTAGATCTCCCCTTCACCTGTGATAGGACAGAGTAAAGAGGTCCAGCTTTTCAAGCCGCCCTTTGTATGGTAAACCCCGGGGTTCTGGAATTGCACGGGTAGCTGCCCTCTGTACATTTTCTAGGATATCTGGGTCGCCTTTTAAACACTAAGGTTGTGTATACTGTGGTAAACATGGCAGTATCTAACTTGGTGAATTTCCGTTTTCAAGCCTAAAGGGTCCGAAACCCCTTGGCTGAGATCTCCCGTTAGTAGGCCGTCGTCTTGAGATCATGACTCACTGTCACCCCTAGATCCTTATGAGACCGAACCACGGGTACTGGGACTTCTCTATGCTGTACCTATTAAACTTTGTATCGCCAAAGTGCATGTGGACACACTTTGCCGCGTTGATAAGCATCAGCCACTCTTTAGACCAGTTAATCATATTATTTAAGTCTGCCTGAAGAGTACATGCGTCTTTGTCTCCAGTTATTACCAGCCAGATTTTTACATCTCAGCGTATAATAACATTGGAGACTGTACTATACTTGGAAGATCATTTACATACATTATAAAAAGTAAAGGACCTAGGACGGAACCTTGAGGTACTCCACTAAGTACTGGTCTCCAGATGGAGCACTTGGAATTTATTCTTACTTTCTGTCTACGACCTACTAGGAAATCCTTAAGCCATTTTAAAAGAGGTCCGGCAATACCAAGGTTTTCTAACTTCAATAGCAGTTTATTAGGCGGCACCTTGTCAAAAGCCTTACTGAAGTCTATGTAAACAACATCCACTGAGTTTCCGTCATCTAGCGCCTTTATCCAAAATTCCCTTGCTATAAGAGGGTTCGTTGTACAAGACAAACCATTTCTAAGACCATGTTGTTTTATGTTTAACAAGCTATTGGTTTCCATAAATGCCATTCTGATCCGTTTGACTATTCTTTCCAATATTTTAACTACAACACTGATGAGTTTTACAGGTCTGTAGTTCGATGGAACTTGTCTTGGTCCTGTTTTATGTTTGGGAGTGACAATTGTGTCCTTCCAGTCCATAGGTAACACACCTTGGTCAGGTGACACATTGAATAACGCAGCCAGTGGTGCCGCGATATATTGTGCAATATTTCTCAAGATTTTAGGGTGTAGTCCATCTGGTCCTGTTGACTTTTCCATGTCTAAGGTGCGAAGAGCCTTAAGCACATCGTCTTGATCGAAGTCCACGGTGAGCAGGTGGTTTGTTGACTCTGTAATTAGGTCTGGTTCTTTGCCCCAAAATAGTCAGCCAAAGCCTCTGCTTTCTCCCGATCTTCCTCTATCATTTCAGACTGACTCCCTTCTTTAATGAGGTTGAGGATCTAATGACGTATCCTCGTTCTGTAGTTTATGTACGAGAATATTCTCTTAGGCTGCTTGAGTGCAGATTCTGCCAGCTGCATTTCATATTTTCTTTGAGCTTCCCGAATTTTAGTTATGCACGTGTTTCTTATTGATCTGTAGCATTCCATCGTACCTGCTGTGCCAAGGCTGATAACAACATTCCAACATTTCTTCTTTTGCCTTAGTATACGTCGAATATCCCAGCCTATCCAATGATGGCCGTGCTTCTTCTTCTTCCTTGGAACTGTCCAGGGTATGTATGGTTGAGCTACCCGATTGTATAACTGCCTGAAATTAGTGCATGCTTCTTGTACTGATGCCCTTGAGTAAATTTACCAGTATTCAGCCGATGATGCGGAGTTGATTGCATCCACATCTACCTTCCATATGTTAGGACGAGCCGGCATAACTGTTTGACAGACAATCTCAGCCATGAATTTGAATAAGATGGCTGCATGGTCACTTCTCCATAGTGGTGGGAGGAAAGTCATTTGACTAACATCATCACCGTATGTGAAGACTAAATCTAAAAGAGAGGAAGAGTTTATTAAGCTATATCTTGTGGGATTTCTAATGTGTTGGAATGAGACTAATCCAATCGAGTTTTCTAACAGTTTGCAATCGAACGACGTTATTGATGACCCTACTTCTAAGTTAACCCAGTTTATATACGGTGCACTAAAGTCGCCCACTACAAGGCTTTTACCCTTGTTACACCAGGACTGAATTTTACTTAGGAGAAAAACATCTGCTGCACATTCTGGACTGTAATATACTACAACTAATTCAATATCTTGCCGTCTACATTTCAACTTACATCGCACCAGTTAACATGTCTCTGAAACATATGTCACTGTCTCAACTGCTCTTATGGCTAAGGCATTCTTCGTGTATAGGATAACCCAGCATCCCCTGCGGTTTAATCTATCAGCCCTACTGGATAAAAAACCAGTCAACTGAGTTTCATTATCCAATACTTCCGACGTTAACCAAGTTTCTGAAACAGCAATAACATCCGGTTTTCCTTATCCACCATTGTCTTGAGCTCCGCCATTTTATTTAGTAGGCTGCGAGCATTTGTTTAGCGTATTTTTAAGTTCATGGAGGACTTTCTGTTACCACCCAGAGTGGATTTGGGATCGTTTGCTCCGTACTTTTACAATTTAAAAATCCTTAAGAACGAGGTTTCTTTCACCGTTTCTGCAACGCTCATTTATTTCCACTTCTGCAGCTCGTCTCAACACGAACAGCTAGGGTGAGATCCTCACGGACGTATATTCCGGATCCAATCAGTTTACGTGAGTTACATTTCTTTAACCGAGGCAAATGTAAACTTTAAGAGACGGCTTTTCTGAGGACTTTCATAATCCACATTTATCCTATTCTATAAAGCTTACAGATGCCGACCCCTGAAACTGTTTCTAGAAGTAGCTTGCCCACTAAGGACTTAACATGACTGAGGCCGTGCTCAAATATAGCTTTTGGTTCATTATCGGAAGATCCTCTTAACTTATGAAAATTACTGACCTCATAGCGAGGTCTGTATCGACACGTTGTGAACTTTTAGTCCCTGAAATCATCTCTTCCTTGTGCCTTGATTTTAATCCAGCGTCAAACGCAGGTTACGATCTGTTTTCTTACTTTTCTTTTCTTAGGTGTAACTGTGAGCCGCTCATTTGCCTTATTTTGTCTCTTGATCACTTACTCCACATTGCTCAGCCTTGGCTCCGCTATAGTTTGTTTTATATTGATGTGTGAGTCCGGGACTGAACTCGCAGACTCCCATGCCTCAGTACTGTTTATAGATAGTTTCTTCTCAGCGCGCTCATTCTTTCTCCTTGTAACAATGCCTACATCCATATGCCTATCTGTTTCCCTGATGAGGTCCACCTTTATGGTTTTATTTAAGTCTAGAGCTGAGCTTATAATAACGCTCCCAATTTCCTCGAAATCAGAGTTCTGTTCATCTGCTGCTGCCTGTTTATCAGAGGGCAATTTCCTAGCTAAGTTTAGTAGATCTATCACCTCCAGAATCACCAGAGACTTAGTAGAACAATATGTTTTACACAACCAACGCGATAATGGCTCACAGCACCGTTTATATGCAACCGGGATGAGTCCGGTGCACACACTGTGATACCATTTGTTGCATCCCCTCATCGACCGAGAAATAGCATGCTGGTCTACAAAAACGACGTTACAATTGCGCCAAAGATTTGTTTTATGCCTCCATATAAATAAAACAAAGAAACACTAAAAAATCCGACTTCAGTAGCTACAGAAAGATCTTAAAACCTATGGATACAAACAATGCTCGAAGTTATATTCAACGTCGAAGTCTAAGTACCAGTGCCTTTAGTTTCATGTACCAGCACTCGTTAAGTACTGATAATAAATCTCTCCAGAGAAAAAGCTGTACTTTTGGGGATTACTTTAACTGAAAGCATTCAATTAAAGCAAAAACAGCTGTCTTCATGTGTAATTTAACGATCAATACTGTGAAAACTACTCAAAAAAAATATCACTGTCCCGTTTGAATAACGCGCGTGAGTGTAACAAAAATACAGAATAAGATGTAAGCTAATATTGTGTTTGACTGTGTTTTTTGATATACGTATCTGCTAATGTCAGCTTAAGCGCACTTAACCAACTGGGAAATTGCTTTTAATCACAAAAAGCGCTGCATCCAAATCAATAACTTGATTCCGCTCAATGAAGCGGTGCACAAACGCAACACTCGGGCTATGTGGTCCTGGGAGGAAGCAACTAAGACATCACTTTTCAGATTCATCCAGTTCTTACAGATGCCTTTCTGGAATCTCAATCTTACCCTTTGATATCAAGTGTCAGATACTCTCACTAGTCGAAAGTATTCCTCTGTAAAGCTTCATATATTCTTAGTCAGCGACCTGGTAAATCTTTGGGAAGTTTCCAAGGACTTTCAACTTACGATTGAAAAGTACTGCAACAGTAGTCGGTGTCCACAGTTATCACAGTTTTACGACCCACATAATCACGAACTACACTCGGCCTTCAATTCTAGATTCACCGTTACGCTGTACAAACACGCTGGTGAGTTCGGCGCTATTTATGATAGCACTAGGAAATCTATTCCGTAGAATCTATCAAAATCAACCACTTTGCCGTAAACTCCAGTTTTTGGAGTGTAGTTTACGTAGAGTAAGTTGCTTTTTTCAAACTAATATTTCCTTCTGTTTTTGGTGTTCCATACTGAGTTGACACTAGTTGAGTGCTAATCGCATATTCAAATTGTTACTGAACCTGTGTTTTTATTTCATTTTTGGAAGCTTTTTTGCTTATGGCAAAATAGGTTTTGTATACTTTTTTAATGCACATAAGAAAAGATCGAAAAGACCTGATGTTGTATCAAGCATTTTGAGACTACAGTACCATATGTCATGTTTTTATAGAGGAATTCACGAGAGTGACAACCCACAAAGCTCTCAACTAGTACTACCCACAATAACGAAATTCACCCTGTTTCCTGTTTTTTTGGTTCACATCACTAATTAATAAAAGGTTGGTTGGATTTCTGCAACACTAAACAGGTAGCTTTTTCACTTTCAAGAATAGGTGACCCTAACATTTTTGCCCTCTCCTCACTTTGTTGACAGGTGATTTGATAAATGCTCTATATAGTTTGTTTGAATTGGAAAATCACCAGAAAGTTAAAGCTTTACCTCTAATTGAATAATTGGATAAGAAAACCTCATACTGAACAAAAGGTTTCTAGCAAGTTTATGTGATATTCGATGTCTGGATTAAAATTGTTATTGGCACGTATACTGCACTTCGAATTTTATTATACAGCATTTGGTAATCCTATACTTTAATGTCCCTCGTCCTGTTCTTCATTCTATCCTGACCCACCACTGAAGTATATTTCTATTGAAAAAGGGTCAAACTTCAGTGAGTTTTCTTAGGTCTTGACGTCAACAAGCGTTTGATGTAGGATACTGAAACTCGTGCTAGCTTCTACAGCTTCAAGCACAACTATACTTTATCTCGCAACCGTTTTACACCCATCTGATAATCGTCAGTGTCTATTACTTTTATGTCTGATGGTTAAAAGTTTCCAACTCAATTATCTTTGTTTATGTGGAGCATATATATTTGGTGCCCCTTGTACCAATGTCTATGTTTTCGAATAAATAAATAATCTTTGTTTTAGCATATGCCGAATCTAGAAGAGTCTTCCAGGACTAGTCAGAATCTACAGGAACCAGACTATTATCCAAGCATCTGTCCCATAGGTCCGTTAAAATGTTTGGCCTTACTTTTGTATGGCGTTTTCTTGAAAGAATTTATCTTTGGGTGGCCAGAACAAAATATTCAGCGGGTTTTTCACACTCTTGTGCATGTATGCTTTAATGGGAACTTTTGGTTTCGTCTATCAAGTTTGATCTGTCAGAGACCAGGTAGCCGTTCGATGTTTTTGTTTGTCCGTTGTCTACTTTTAGTTTATCTGGTGTACATAAAACTGTTATGGCCAGTGTCACTTTTTGTAAGAGACAAACTGGAGAAGACTACTATTGTATCACAATTTTACGTGATTATATTTGTTTTGTTCCATTTTTGTTATTTTTTTATATGGAAATTCTATCAGCTGATAATAACTAAACGATCTGTGCTAGAACAGTCTCTAGTTCCTCTAACAAATAATCTAGAAATCCTATGTATGTATCAATGAGTTAGTAAATGTGTGTATTTGAAATGAAAACCAATGTAAAGGAGTTTATCCCGGTTGACCATTAATAAGAAAAAGCATTCCTATGGATTTTCCTCAGTTGCTTAGCATAGTAAACGCTAAAGAGAAGTAGACATGAACGAGTAAAAACGTTAAGTTAATTAGGACATTCATGAACCTAGACTAATAAACGTTCTGTAGAAGTTGCAATTGGTTGAAATAAGAAGAGCTTTCAAAAATAAAAATGAGAAACCAACTGTATCAGTTTCTTGAAATTAGTTATTCCTAAAAGATGATTTGAAGGAAAATAATCTGTTCATCTTAAAATTAGCCCTCACAATCATACTTACATTGTCATCTTATTTGAAAGGTAAGCTTTCATGAGTTGTCACCAATTTGTGTGCTTATGTTTGGCTTCCATTATAAATTAAGTCTCCTTGTCTATATCCTGAGTAATCTTAATAGTTGTGAAATAGCAACATCTAATATTGTCTGTTAAAAAAACGAAAAGCTACGATAACCTACCTATTTAATACTGATATCAAACACTTATTAAACAACTTTTCTACTTTGCGATCACTTGCGATACACTAAGTGGTCTAACATAAGTCGTAAACATTCTTAAAAGACGATCAAGGTCATTGTAGACAGATAACTGAAATATAAAACGACATCGAATGGCCATTAAGTATGCTTGAATTATTTCATGTTGACTAGTTACGTGCTTTTTCTACCCAAGAATGGGTGGAATGGTATAGCAGAGAACTGCACTTTTTTATTTTACTAAACAACGGTTGTTTTATTTACTAGAAGAAATATTATAAATATATCATATTCTCAGAGGCTCTAAAATATTCATAAATTTCAACTATCCGCTTATTTTTATAGTAATTTATTTAAAATTTGGAATTTAGATCGTTTTTCGACCAGACATCTTTATATGAGAATATATACTTCTTGATTGTTTCTTATAGACATAAAATCAAAACATAACATAACAGGTTACAATGTCGGTCGACCTAAAGAAATATCCAAATAAATACTAAACTTCAAATACACGGCATTATTTTGCTGTCTTAACTCCGGTGTTTGTCACTGTGCTGTTTTACTTAGAATAACTCGTGTTTATGTTGATTTCACCAAAATAAATATTCATAATTGGAATGTGGATTACATTCAGGACTTAGATTTAATTCCTTGAAAAATTGTAGATCCATACGATTTTCATAGAATTAATCGGTTTTTCCTCTCAATAATTTACTTACCGAGTGTACATTTAACTTAAGTAGTCCTAAGAGTTTAGATGATAAACATAGTTTTGTGGATTCGCCCTTTTTTGTTGACTTTGCAAGAAACATTTGTCTCTAAGCTCTTTATTGCTTCAGGTGTAGATCCACAATCTGAACTGACGCTTCGCCTTTTCCTGAGAAAAACGTTTTTAGACCCTAATGCGTTACCACAAATGTATGATGAGATCAACTCACCATCGTCATCCATTTCCAATACTAAGCAATATTTATCATCGGATAACTGTTCCTTAACTATTCAGTATGACGCACTTCAAAATCTACATCCATCTGAAGCCCATTCAAAGACTTCTTGGACCCATGAAACAATCAGTTATCATGTATCACCTAGATATCCCTCTGATAATTCCCTACTGACTTCAGTCTCCTCATCTAGCAATTATAGTGACAATGGATTTTCATCGGGTGATTTATTAACACTCACACAATTGCCGCGGTTAGTGTACTTATTCTAAAATATGGTTTATTCGTTTTTTATTATTAGTTATTTTGGTTTTGTAGAACTTTATATCTATAACTATTTGCAAATGTGGATATTAAACGGTTTGTCATATATATAATGAGCTTTGAAGTGCAGAGCTAGCACATCATAAACGTTCCCATACTTAGGCCCTGCGTGGTCGGCATCAAGTGGTTGATCCTTGAGCCCTCAGGACACTGAGACCACCACCAATTCATCTTCCTTTTCAGATCCCTCAAGGAGAAATGTCCTCCCAAGTTGTGGACATCCGGGAAGTGACGAACACCTTCATATCCCTATCAGCACCCGAGATCATCTTGTTCACGACTGAATCCCTCCATTATCCCTTAATAATCCTTTTATCCCTATAACTAACCCTTCTAAATCTTTATGATCACAGTCCACCAATGCTAATGATTTGAGTTCACAAAATGTTATTCTCGGTCTTCCTGAAACCACGCTATAAACTATATATTGGAGCTTATAATGTTCGAACCTAGTGTCAGATAGGACAACAGGTGTCTTTAGCAAGAGCTCTAGAATCATACACCATCGGTGTTTGCTACGTCTTTGAAGCGTTCATGTACAAACCAAGTGCATTCATTCATTTGACCTCATCTTGTCTGTATAAACAATCGATACGATTTGCACATAGAGTATCCGGAGACCTCACTGCTATTTAGCGTGTTCTTGCTGGTGTAGGTATAGCGATACCTTAAAGAGCAGAACAGGCTCTGTTATAGTGGATTCCAGTAAGTAGTCGCTTGCGCGCTGTTCAACTAAACGGGACAGTAAGAACTAGAAAACATAGAAAAATAAGATATTGTCTTCTTGTTATCTCTGCCTCTGCTCCCACTAATTGCAGTTCATATGAAGCTGAATTGTATAGAAAGCTACCTAACCTCCTTCAAAACACTAAGAGTTCTGATGTAGTAATAATGGCAGGTGATTTTAAGGCTCGAGTAGGTAAACCAAATCAAATCGACACTTAGGCGGGTCTTACAGTGTCGCAGCTTGTTAAACAGATAACGGCAATCATCTATTGCAACTATGCCCAGAAAATCGTCCGTTTCTGACAAACACTAACTTTAAACATAATGAGGAATATCGTTTGACGTGGCGACCTCCACAGTCGACTCATAAATGGAGTCGATAGATCATATTATTATTAACCATCGTTGGAGGGGCTCGATTAGGGAGTGTCAATCACTCCGTAGCACATGTTTAGTCTCAAGTCATCCTCTAGATCAAGCATTATTATTATTATTAATGGCTTTATTCAATATTATATTTTGGTACAATATAGAATTCTCAGCACAGGGTATTTCAACAAGTTACTTACTGAACAACGAACAAAATGGCAGTAGCAAATACAAAAAGAAATTTAAAAAAAGTTTTCAAAATATATGTATATATATATATATAATATTAAAAAAAGAACCAAAAAATAACTGTACAAACTTTTTTAAAATTAAAGACATGTTAAGAATGTAAGTTATTGACTAGGTAAATCCTAACAACCTGTTCGTCGCAGAGTATATTTGCTAGGTAAGGTATTATAGAACTTTTATACTTTTCCTTGCGTGCATGGATTTTAACGTAATTACGTCTCGTTCTACCAGAAGATATACAAGGAGAAAGATAAGAGTGAAAGGGATGGCTAGTATCTGATAAAATAACACCTGCCAGCATGTATTTGTCTATGCATCAATGAATGTAGAAAAGCCACATCAAGAAAACACTTTGAAGTTTAACTTGATGATGGACAAGTTAAAAATATATTTCAGGAACAGCTAGAGAATGACATTTGGATAGCGTTCAATCACGTAAATAGACAGGTTTTATGACAGTACCTGTCATTGCGAGGCGTGCCAAAAAATAGGGTTAACATTATAAGGGTTTTGTTCCCGAATACTATTGGTCGAGTCAGAGCTTATGATGAACTGTCATCGAGAAGTGTTCGTCAGTGTTGTTCGCTCGCTCCATTTTTATTTAACTTTGTCATAGACATGCTTTTAGAGATAACGCTTTTATCGTCGATTCACTGGTCTTGGTAGTCTCACTAGTGCTTGGTGTCTAACGAAACCTCGTCACGAACCCAAAAAGCTGTTGTGTTTCGCCTACTTGTGATGAAGCCGAGATATCCATCTGAGCTACGGGACGAATATACTGCACAGCAGTTCTCTTCATTCTACTTTGTGTCTGGGAAAGACAGCCTTTAAATAGTGATTCCTAGGTTATTAATATTGGGTTTATAAAGGTCAGTAAACTACTACCCGTGCATTTTGGGATTTCTGAGTAAGCAGTTATGAAGTTAGACGCAGAGTACTGGTTAAGGATGACAAATCGACTAATGAGGTAGGTAACTTTTGTCGAAAATGTATTACATGTGACCACCTCCCGACTACCTCGACGGACGAGGATGGCTTGAATAATAGTAGTTTGTTGTAATAATAGGAGCGGTCAAACCAAGACCTGGCATCAGTTCGTAAACACGCTAACTGTTGTACTAAGACACTCAGGTGCAGACTAACTGTTTTGGATCCACATCATAATCGTAACTAATGGTTAGAGATTTTAAATGATATGATTTAACAACGTTCGCAATGGTGCAGGTGCATCCATTCTTTGTTTTTTTCCCAGACCCTAGTTTCTAAATCACCTTGTAATTTTATTATTCTCTCATTATCCTGTATTTTCTCGAATCATGTCTTCTATGCCTGAATTTTTATATCATCCGTAACACTGTTACTACCTGCACCACTCTGGGATTTATTCTGAAGATTTCTTCTCGCTGTGCTAATAGGGTATATCAACTTGAAACGATGTACACATGTTACAGGTTCTAAGTTGCGTATGACTGAATGGCTGGTATACAGCATTTGGAAAACATTAAGAACAGAAATGATTATATTACAGTTACTTGCTAAATAAGGGTCTATGTATGTCTACAAGATAGTTGCTAGCTATTATTTATTCCCATACTCAATTAATCATATTTTAATTCTAGTTCCTTGTCAGTTTATTTGATTTATCAAACAAGAATTAAACCATATATTTAGGTATTAAAATCACTAGGACTTATATAATCTACGAAATCTGTCTTCTAATCACTCTATTTTATTCAACGTTTATTCTCTTGCGTAGTACTTTGTGTATAAACATACTGTTGTATCAGATGGTGGTTGGGGAGGTAGTCAATAGGAACCCCTGGACCTGGGTTTCGTACTACTTGGCACTTCAGCAAATTGTACCTGTAGTCTTGAGGGAACTGGTACTCCCTGACAGATTCGATCCAGTGTCACCCAGCTTTACAGTCAGGGACGTTACCAATTGACTATCCGGGCCGCGACCGACCTGTAGGACTGAGATGTAATCACAATCGATTGATCACTGTTCCCTCAAGATTGCAGGTACACTTTGCTGACGAGTGCCAAGTAGCACGAAACCCGGGTCCAGGGTTTCCTGGTGACTACCTCCAACTACCATCTAATCTTAACATAGTGCACGTAGTGTCGAATCACATAGACTAACGGCCACGTTGCAAATTGGTCGATAGCATCCGATCTGCACTAAGAAGGACTTGATACACGTGACATTGATCACCACCCAGTGATCAAGCAAATGTGATAATGTTAAATTAGATAGGAAACCCATGCTTCTGGCTGGTGGTCTTGTTTTTGGTCCCGTTTTCTTTCTGGAAGGTTGTCATGTTGCGTAAACAGTAATATCTGCCATCTTGATATTTCCGTCGCTAGTGTTGAAATCAACTGATTCTCTAGGTACTCGAGTATGAATCACACTCTAAATGCGAATGCTAATGACTCTACCCAGCAGCTCAAGGTGGAGTAGATGGAGCAGGGCTGAAACCTGAAACTTTGTGACTGAAAATTAAGTAATTTAACCACTTAGACACCCTTATCATAACCGTATAATTTGCAATCTTTTCCATCTATCCACGAATAATAAAACAGTATTTTTTGATGCATAAAATTAGGAACTTAGCTTTAGAAGAGATGTAAAATGTTTGAACTCAGCAATACACACCAAGTTAATCTTAACGACATTTTGATTCCCATAGCTACTACGTTAATAATTCTTGTAAAATTTATCATCGTCTAGTATCAGGAACTGCATGTATAGCATGTATACTTCTTAATTCACCATTTTACTTTGTGATGGTTAACAACAATGCCTACCCTACATTTTTGTGGATCTAAGTTCACCTCTTTAGAATAATGATATTAGAATTATTTTGAGAAGTTGGTTCTGTTACACCTTAGTATTATTAATCTACTATTTATTACTCACAGTGGTGTTGCAGGATCTTCGTTGTCATCACTTTCAACCTTGGTCATGCAGAATTTACCAGCTTCCTCGAGTAAACTGACAAATAATTATTTCTGGCCAGCTTCAAACATTTTGATGAAGATTCTCCATTCTTATTCGTACAATCATCAAGCTAGAATTTTATTTATTTTGTATGGACCATTACATAGAGGTAATTCTGTTAATCAGTTTTAGGTTCTGTTAAATCTTCTATTAGCTATGTATCATAAAAATCAGTATTATGAGATTATATCTGAAAATATCCAGGAAGCAACTTTCCCGTGGAATATTAACTGTAGGGATTTTTTTAACATTCATTGAAAATCATATACGTATGTGTAATTAATAGGATGATGACAGTTGTAAACGACTAGGAATTTCTAATAAATTTTCATTATATTCTCATCGTAAGCACTTTGTATTCATACACTGGTAATAAAATTTGGAAATTTCGACATTAAAATATCTCAGCCTTATAAATATTTGTTAATTGAAAAAACCAATAGTATTCAGAAAATATTGTACGTGGATCAGAAGGGTGTTTTGATAATGCGAGAGTCATTCATAACCCTAGTTTGTTGAAAACAATGTTAGTAAATTTAACGGAAGTACCTATACATATGAGTTACAATATATCACTAACGAAATGCAGGACATATTCAGTGACTGTCAGCAGATTGCCAAAGGCAAACGAAAACTACATTTGTATCTTTTTTCAACTCATTTTTAAAACCGTCGAATAATATCACTAGGACTATTGAGTACAAGTTGCTCCAGAAGACCTACTATTGATAAAACGAAATGAAAGATGGAAGTGTTGCTCCTGCTTATCCGTTTGTAGTGCTTCCATACCAGCTAAACTATTTCTGGACAATTTTATATGAAAGTGGTTACCACAGATGTATAAATTATAGAGAAAACCAGTGACCACTTTATGGGAACATTAAAACTGTTTCCTCACATTATTATTTGCGTTATGACCAGACCTCACATTTCTTGTTCTAAATAAAAATTTTTATCCTTAAATGAAATATCAGCCACACGCCTGTTTTGAATATTTTACGAAAAACTCATTCTTCAATAAGCTAAACCAATATGGTCGATGATTGCAAATACTGTTTTGATTAGCTGTAGATCTATCCGTTCAACCCGACCCTAAATAAAACTTAAGAAGGGTATCTTTATTTTCAACTACTTTTTTAAAAATTTAACGTAAATATTTCGCATTTAAGTTTCTTGATGCTTCTTAAACAACCAGTATTTTGTTTTAAACACTAGGGAATCTTATGTGGCGTACAATGTGTGAAAATACAGCTGCTGATTCTCAACAATTATCTGCTTGTTTTGGAGAGCTTGGAAGTGTCCTGTCAAATATGTTTCATTCTGGTTTATGGACACCTGATGATATCATCAATATAATTGATCAAATTACAATAACACCCGAGGATTGGTTAGCAGAAAATGTTGCGTGTCTATTGCATACATCGGGTTTGTATTTTTTGTTTAGTGTAAATTATTTGTTCATTTCGAATTCGTACACACTTGAATTGCAAACCCTTTAAAAAAGATATACCAGCCCAACTTACTACCCTATACAACAGTGTAATAAATTAGTTGTATGAAATATGTCATTTATATGTAAAGTTTCTGATAATATGATTACAAATTTGTGAGAAAAAAATATTTTTCAGGCTAATAGAAATTCCTATCAGTATGGAGATTAGTAGAGATTGTAGTATTTTCACATTTGAAATCACGAGTCGATCTAAGCTGTACCACGACTGAAAACAATGGACGGCCGTTTCGTCTTAGTATGAGACTCCTTGTGGATGCGCGCTGCAGAGTTCCATACTGGGACGAAATGCCCGTCCAGTACTTCCAGGTTTTTAATGGTGTTCTAGCTTAGATCGACTCGTGATTTCAACTATGATAATAGAAATTTATTAATAAGTCTGAAGTGTGTTTAGTTGTCGCACAAGTATATTCAACGATGTCGTTGAGAGGCTTCTCCGACTCTCGCCATTGTATTGATATTCGGAGATACGTTACACCGGTATATTCCAGTCTATATATCTCCAGTTTTTTCTGTAATATTTCTACAGCTTAAAAGAATACGCTTGTATCCATATGGTATATTCCTTATGGGTCATTCATCTTTATTTGTAGTCTGTTTACAATCCGTCTCAGTTGATTAGGATTAAGTCTAACTTTATCGACCATTGTATTTATTATGTCTTTTCTTTGTAGGACCAGAAATAGCGTTACTTTCTGTGACGAATAAAGCCCGCAGTGGAAAAACTGCTGAAGTTGCTGTCACTCTCACTTCATTATGCTTAGTTCAGGTATATTTGATTTTATACCTTAATACTTCACTATTATTTTTCAGAAAATCTAAAACCTAAAATTATCTAAAGAACTGAACCGTTTTGAGAACTACAAAGTGTCCTTCTCGCAGTCTAAATATTGATTGTGGAAACTGAAATGATCAGTGACCGCATTAGGGTAGTGAAGGTTAGGTATTTCGTACAAAAAACTAGGGTTTCAAACAGTACTATTCTTCCACTTTTTGCTCTGGAGGGTCATGTCGATAAACAAAAGGAAATATGGGAAGCCTTATACGTAGATACTGTTTCCATGAGGTATCGACTCAAAATTCAGGATTGATGATGAACTTCAGTTGTTTCAGACAATATCTTTATGTATTACAACAGAGGCGTGTTGTTACAACTTTATATCGGTGTCCTTCTATAGACATAAAGGAAAAGTAAACTTGGGCTGCAGCTTTACATCTGTTAGACATTTAAATACACTACTCTATATATAGCCCATTCATATCTACACAATAATTATTATAATAATCCCTAATATTTTAATCTATGGTTAGGTGAAAATTCGTGCAAAATTAACAGAACTTATTAATCTTGTCAGTGCTACATTTCAAGCCACAAAAGAAAAAGATCGAACTGCTTTTCTAGATCAGTTAGCTCGATCTTTTCAAGATGTTATAGTCGATCTGTATGAGACTGATGAACTAGGTGAGTTAATAAATTTTCTGTTTTATTTTGTTTTAATCGGGTTTGTATTAGCTTTTATAAAGTTTATTTAGTAACTTTGAAAGCAGACCTCTTGTATTAAAATCCATCATTTGTAGCCTTCCATTTATTTCATATTCATAAATTCGATTATACCAATTTGTTACTGATTCATTAAACAAATTAAAAAAGAACTCATTTTTCCAATAGTTTTTAATAGTTCAGCATTTTTTTCCTAAAGTTATTTTCGCAATGACTTCAAGAAATTAATTCTATTGATGTAAGCACCTACATTTTGTGCAGACAGAGACAATTATATCAAAAAATTCATGTACATATTGCTTTTTTTCTAAATAAACTGTAGATTTTGAAATTTCTTGCATATTGAACACTTAAAACTTGTCTTAGTAACCTGAAACTTTAAGGGTTAATTAGCTTTCATAGAAGATTCAACAGTAAATCTAAGCTGACGATCGCAAGCTATTGCTAAGTTTATTGAAGTTTTAAAGTACTTAGTTTCTGCAATGCTGGTCGCTTTTGATGTTCAGATTAGTCTAGTCATAAAGGATTTCATAGTAGTAGTCTCTTTATTGTATAACATTACACTAAGATATATCTGATAACATCAACTATATGTAGTTCATTTCATTATATGACTACATATGATGTTGACAATTATGAACTAGAGTAATGTTATTGATATATATAGTTGTAGTATTTTCTAAATGATATTTGTGTTTCATTTCCCACCTTGTTTATTTCAAATAATGTAGTTAAGTCTCACGTAACCACAAATGGAATACTAACAATTACTGGTTCACCTACAAGTTAAAGGGTATATCTATAGTTCAAATTATATCGTCATTGCCACTATTTTGTAAAATTTGAAAATGAATCTATTTCTCTGTATATTCAGCGATTTTATTCGTTAAAAACTAAACGCCATACACATATCGCCTTTTTGACATCCCACATTTCTCTTTCAGAAGAACGAGTCGAAGACTTTTCCACCATACTAAGAGCACAAGCAGAGTTCATGCGTGCGCTTATGGCACATATATACGAGGAGTGATATATAAATATCCACTTGGCAAATTTGATTTTACTGCGGTTCTTTCACTAGATTTGTTTTTTTTTCATCGTTTATTTTTGTTTCGATGATAATGTCATTAATTTCCTTTCTGTTGTTTTAGAGTTATGATTGATAGTTCAAACCCAAATTTTTCATTGTTCGCTTTTTCGTACTTGTTTTTTTAACAGATGTTGACTAATTATTTTTTAATTTATTTTGAAATCTTTTACCTGGTATTGTACGCGTGTTACGAACGGTTCGGTTTTTTTTTTATTAGGAAACACTTCTAGTTATCAAGAATTCTTATTTAATATAATGGAATATGTTTAAGACAGTAGTTGCCCTCGATATTGGCGATCAGGAGAATTAATTTCCGCTGCAATAGAAATCTAGTTATGACAGATATGCATTAAAAGCAATAGACGAGAACAATGAAGAAATGCTTAGGAACGACAGTTAAATCAAGACTCAAATGTGGAAAATGTGTACAACTGTGTAACTAATTGACTTTCGGGCATAATTAAAGCAAACTGCCACCGTTATCTATTCGATCGGTAGAAACGGCAAAAGGACCCCCCTACACAGCTTTCAGATTCATTTAACTTACCTACTTGCGAGCTCAAAGTACTCACTTCAATTATATCTGGCAGTTTAACTTACTGAATATGGAGAGGCTTTTGGTAGAACTATTCTTTTTATCCATACTGACTGCAGCTGGTGAGGAACTTTGAAGATTCAATAGAATGTTTCCCCATACTTCGAAGATATCACGTTCTTTAATATGGAGTAAAACAGGTGGATATGAACTGAAATCCAATCTAGAATTCATTATGTATGGATAGGGATTAGAAGGATTGATGATCGATGCATCAGGAAGCGAGGATAAAGTTTGATTGGGAATAAGGTGAACTCGAGTGCTGTTAAGTGATCAGTGATTGGCGCCTCGTGGCTATCAACACTATGTAGGAATATTTATCCATGACAGACCTGAAGAAGGAACTGAATTGTTATTTACGATCGTGTCGACCTTGAGGTGTTATCACAGAAAAAAAGTGACGAGTGTTTGTGCACAGTTACATAAGACCTTCAGGTGGATGAACGTTCTTAAGATTAGCTCCATAACTTAAAAAGCTTTCGGTTACCTTTGATAAACAAAGACAAAACAGCTTCCGGGAATATCTTCTGAACACATGCAGTACAGATTTTTCAGAGGTCAAAACATTACTGCTTTTTTCTACCCACTCCTAACAGGCTTTGATGCCATTACAGGATATTAAAGAACAATTATTTTAGTCAATACACCCCTGCTAAATTTCCAAGATAGGGAAGCCAAAACTCTGAGTAAATGTATCAAACCTATGTCTTTATTTTAAACCAAGTTTGAACTACTCCTATCCCAAGAGTTTAAAGACCCCAAAATGAACGATACACATGTGGAGCGCATAAATTTAATCTGTTATGGTTTGGGTGGTTCCGCTATTGATTCTTGGACTAAAATTTGGTCAGTCTTAGTTGGGATCCGGGCATTTTGTGCGATGCGTTTCGATATAGCCATTGCGATCATGTTTATATTGAACGGATGGAATGTGCCTAGCGAGATAATTTTTTTTAAAACGAATCTCACAGCAGTAGAAGTAGCACTAGTGATAGTGGAAATGTAAAGATGAACTCTAGCAGGGCGGATGTAAATGCTGTAACGAAAACATCACTAAACTAGTCAGTAGACGGTACTGAAGTCAATTTTGAGAACATAATAGTGATGGTCGCCGAAACCCATGTGCGTAAGGGAGGATGAGTAGCAAAATCCATCAGTAATCGTATCGCCGGCTGCTGATGGGTTCAGTTTACTGGTTTAAACTCCACAAAAATGAAGTTTTGGTGAACAAACTTTAGACTTGTTCTTTTAAAGGTAGATGCTTAATTTTAAAAGATCAAAATGTAACTACTATCGAATGGAAAAATTTAAGGATGGAGCTAACAGGGAACTATCAGTGATACCTGCATAAATAAAATATGTCAAAGAAGTTAGGTATAATACAGAATTGTCTCTGCATAGTGCATCAACAGTAAGACGTCGCCAACATCGTTTACACGCTCCCCCCAAGTAAATGTAACTATGCGGTGCACTGCTTCGAAATATGACTTCTTGACCCTATCCAACCAAACGTGTGTAAAGCGAATAGACATACAATTTTCTCAGAATAGATGTTTGAACATCCATAAACGTCCGTCGGGAGGTTTTTAAAGGATTATATATAGCAGTTAAAAAAACGCACGACACTGACAATATAACAAAAACCACAAGCTAGTCGACTAATATTCAACAAATTATTTATTTGAACACATAAATGCTGGTACAAGAGGGCACCAAATATATATGCGCCACATGTTCAACAAATAAGTTTGCACTACTCTTCGTAAAATTAAAATAGACTCGAAGAATTTAAGCCACTGGAAATTTAGAAAGGCTAAGTCTCAATATCAAAAACGGATGGCATTTGTGCCATGTTCAACCACGACCGTGGCTACCACAATGATGCCCTCGTCGAACTCGCCTATAGTGGTGCCCCAACTGAACTATATAGGCTGGAATACATGTTCCTTTAGCTCCTATCATGCCAGGTAGTTCAGTTGCAGAGCGAGCACGTATTTGCGCCTCACTGAATGTAGAAAAGCCACATCAAGAAAACACTTTGAAGTTTAACTTGATGATGGACAAGTTAAAAATATATTTCAGGAACAGCTAGAGAATGACATTTGGATAGCGTTCAATCACGTAAATAGACAGGTTTTATGACAGTACCTGTCATTGCGAGGCGTGCCAAAAAATAGGGTTAACATTATAAGGGTTTTGTTCCCGAATACTATTGGTCGAGTCAGAGCTTATGATGAACTGTCATCGAGAAGTGTTCGTCAGTGTTGTTCGCTCGCTCCATTTTTATTTAACTTTGTCATAGACATGCTTTTAGAGATAACGCTTTTATCGTCGATTCACTGGTCTTGGTAGTCTCACTAGTGCTTGGTGTCTAACGAAACCTCGTCACGAACCCAAAAAGCTGTTGTGTTTCGCCTACTTGTGATGAAGCCGAGATATCCATCTGAGCTACGGGACGAATATACTGCACAGCAGTTCTCTTCATTCTACTTTGTGTCTGGGAAAGACAGCCTTTAAATAGTGATTCCTAGGTTATTAATATTGGGTTTATAAAGGTCAGTAAACTACTACCCGTGCATTTTGGGATTTCTGAGTAAGCAGTTATGAAGTTAGACGCAGAGTACTGGTTAAGGATGACAAATCGACTAATGAGGTAGGTAACTTTTGTCGAAAATGTATTACATGTGACCACCTCCCGACTACCTCGACGGACGAGGATGGCTTGAATAATAGTAGTTTGTTGTAATAATAGGAGCGGTCAAACCAAGACCTGGCATCAGTTCGTAAACACGCTAACTGTTGTACTAAGACACTCAGGTGCAGACTAACTGTTTTGGATCCACATCATAATCGTAACTAATGGTTAGAGATTTTAAATGATATGATTTAACAACGTTCGCAATGGTGCAGGTGCATCCATTCTTTGTTTTTTTCCCAGACCCTAGTTTCTAAATCACCTTGTAATTTTATTATTCTCTCATTATCCTGTATTTTCTCGAATCATGTCTTCTATGCCTGAATTTTTATATCATCCGTAACACTGTTACTACCTGCACCACTCTGGGATTTATTCTGAAGATTTCTTCTCGCTGTGCTAATAGGGTATACCTCGTCACGAACCCAAAAAGCTGTTGTGTTTTGCCTACTTGTGATGAAGCCGAGATATCCATCTGAGCTTTGGGACGAGTATACTGCGCAGCAGTTCTCTCCGTTCTACTTTGTGTCTGGGAATGATAGCCTTTAAAAACAATGATTAGTTCATATGTCCATGAAGCAATGGTCTTTATTTGTAAACCACGTTATGAACAATATTTGGTTAGAAATAAGCACTTTATTAATGTGGAAAATCCACTGACAAGGTAGTAAATCTTCATCGATTGAGGTATTTTAGAAGTACGCCACGTATTTCCAACCACCATCCAGAAGATATGTAGGGGTGGCCAAGGCAAAACATGGCATCAGTCCGCGCAGTCACTATTACTGCCATGTTGTGATAGGTGTATACTGCCTGATTGGGTTCCGCGTTATTATAGTAACCAGTGTTTAGAAATTTTGAATGACGTGGCTCAAAATCATTGGCAATGACGCGCATGCATCCGCTCTATCTAACCCCATTTTTACTAATTTACATATTGCTTTCGTATCGTAACTTCAGTACCTGATCTTTGCTATTACCACTGAAACTGTTACTACTACCCCGGGGATTGCTACTGACAACTTCATCTCTCTGCTGTGATATGGCAACTTCAATCGATGTACATATGTACAAGTTTTACGTTTTGGTTGACAGATAGCCCATGAAAACCAAGATAGTAATGAGGCGAATTTGTGTACGAACTCTAATGTCTCCGAAACGTCTTTTTTTCGAACATAAACTGCAGGATAGGTAGGGTTTGAAGTATACCATAATCGCATGAATGACCATATAGGATCGCCAATAGGTGACTACAAAATACTGAGGCACTTACAGAACTTTAAAACATACACAGTAGAAACACAACTGCTGGTGATAACAAATCCCAATAACCACACTTTAGGTACTTTGGCCATTAAATACAACGATGACTTCGGTCCATTAAATAAACTCCGTGGGAAATCCAAGAGACCCGATGAAATGCATCCCATGCAATTAAGGAAACCCGTTACCTTCATTGCAAATTCTCTGAGGATATATACCATGTGTGAAATAAGGCACACACTAACGTTTTCGTAGCAGACACAAGATAAATATCTGAGAAATACTGTCCTGCAAGTATAATCACCACAGTTCTCAAGTTGGTAGTGAAGACTACTTGCAATGTATTGAGTATCCAGATGGAATATATGGCTGTCTCTGAAAAGCAGTACGGTTTCGCAATGAACTACCCCTGTATCGCTAACTTACAAGTACCAAAAGAGCGTTGGTGTAACTCGAAAGGCATGAACAGATGGTGCTTTTACCGACTTTATAGGGAATGTTAGTAGCCCCACTAGACAGATTACCACCCACATTAAGTGATTTCGGGAGAAGTGGGACGTAGATTTGTAAATAAATTATTTTCATTGAAACACCAACGAAAAGTACGGGTTTACTCTAAACTGTCTCACTAGAAAACTATTCATAGTCGAGTGCCTAGTGTTATTCTTCTAGAATGCAAATCTC